TAGCGGGTGCAGAGCGCGCAGGGGGCAGATTTTACATTATATTACTTGCTGCTACGGAAACCTTCATGGGCGAGTCCGACTCGCATTTGGTCGCTTTCATTTATTAAGATGTTTTTTACCCAATATTATAGCCCCATCATTATGCCAAGTTTTATAAATTACAGAAGTTATTACGTTTATTAAGATGTTTTTTACCCAATATTAATGCCCCATCATTATGCCAAGTTTTATAAATTACAGAAGTTATTAAGTAAAAACAATTGCTGATAACAATATTTAAAGTATTTAAATAACGCCCGCCTACCGTCTAGCGCAAAACGTACGTCTAACCTCCAAAATATATTAAAATGACAAAGGAATTCTGTAAAATTCTATATGATTCTCTTGACAATGAATACAACAGCATGCTTCAGAGCATTTCCAAATTAACTTGCGGTGTTCGTATGAAATTTTATAATATTTTGTGCCGGCGAACAAAGTTACTAACGGTATCAATTGAGAAATTTTAAAATCAATATTAAAGTAGAGGTGAGTAACCACATAGTAGTGTATATAAAGTTTTAAAGATGAAGTATATATGGATATTTTGTGCCTTACGGCTAGGTCATTTTCTATTATAGCAACTTTCTAAGGATCCCCTTCTCCATAAAATTAGACCCTGAATAACTCAGTGATAAAACTACTAGATACTAATTTAGCGCTAAACTATCTAGTTTCAACTTGCAGAAGCGTGTAGAACAAGTTGAGAAAATTATCAACAATAAAGCTATATAACTTACCATATCCGTGTACAACAGGTCGCTCGTTGCTGATGCGCACACGTCTCAAACTCGATCTCGAAGGCAAAGTGCTGTGACTAGGATTAGGCGAATTTCTATAAGTATTATAATTCACAGGCACACGTGGCAAAGTTGAGTACATATATCCTTGGTTATCCTGGTAAATTGGCCTATGCTGGGGCTCTTCTAATATAACTGGCACATACTGCTGCCGTAACACGTATCTTGAAGGTTCACCGTAGTCTACATAAGCGCTGCTTCTTTCCCGTTCTCTAGGGTGACTGTAGCCTGTTTGTCCATAGTTGGCTAATACTGGCAAGCTTTGAGCTGGATATCCGTATTGTATTGGTCTTCTCCGATATTTGTCGTTAATATCAAATGGTGTATTGTGTGGTACAGTCGTGAAACGATCGGAAGCAAATATTTCGCTTACAGGCAAACCGGCGCTATTCATGCTAGCATTACTTTCAACACTTCGATTACTTCTGATGCTACCCCTCGTGCTGTCTCGGACCAATGGGCCATCTCCACGGACACTTAACTTCAATTCCAGTCTTTTATCTTTCATTGTTACAATTTTCAACTATTGTTCTCTATTCTACCACACTATTTTATGTTGTTCTTATTACTAACAACATTAACCCACGATCACTATGAACATGACACTTTAACATTTAAAACAGAAATTAGAAACTCTGCTCACATAATAACAAATTAATTACAATTTATATCGCTTATTATTCAACAAAGTAATGTATCACGAAAGAAAGTTGCTGTTACAAAGCTCTTCATATTATAGTTTGAGTAATGGACGATGATGCAAAAGTAAATGACCACAAGCTTGGGAACAAGACGCTGTACAAGTTAATTGAGCTACAAATAGCTGCAACGAAGCATCGACACGACTTTTAGACAAAGGCGCTGTCAATCATTAGAGCAGGAGACATCATAGCTGAACAAGAAAAAAAAAGACAAGAGAAAACCTATTGACAGGCACGGAATGATTAGCGTGTTACTTTAAATATACATTAAAATACATTGGCAAAATAGGTACTATGCCTAAAAATATATGCTCTCCATGATGGCATGAGTAAAGTATATATTTTTATAATGGTGGACGATAACGAGAAATAATCATTTTATAAAACAAGGCAAAAAAGGAATGTAAGATTGAGGAAAACAAAACGGTAGACCAGCGATAGTCAGTGAAGTCACTGAATAAATAGCTCGTAAGCACGCAATATTCAGAGTTCATATATGAATTTGCGAAATAATATAAGTAACCGAATTTTATTGACACTAAAATGAAAAAGTTATGAACACTATTTTTAATTAAACTTGATTCGAATAAATTCACAATAATTAAATGCAAAACCGAACAATAACCACTGTCACTGCACTTCACATCTAACAACAGTGAAATAACTGTCAAGACTCAGTGGAACCATTGTAATTAATAACGATAAGATAATGTCTGTAGTTCAATAACATTATCGTAAACAAATAAGTAGCAAGTTTCCTTAGGGAGCAGAGTGAATACATGTATCGACCTTACTGAGAACCATAGTACTTACTAATCGGTATTGTTTTCGTTCAATACTTATTCCTAGCACGATTTTAGAATTCTTGAAGAAAATTCGCCTTGACCAAGAGTTACATATTCGTTTAAGGATATCTAGGTCAAGGATATTATTTGTACTTGTACGCACATTCAGACGCATATCTACATGCCTATTTTTTTTAAAAGTATCCTTTCTTAGATTACTTGTAAGTATAGAGATGTTCAGCGATGGTAATAGTTAGTCGTATTTGTACATACATATGTACCTCAATTCAACCTTGGTTAAGATATTAGTGCAATGTAAGATGTGGAGAATAAATTAAAACCAACTACAGTAGTTAACAAACTAATATGTTAGTTTGACAAACAGAGCGTGACGATACGATTAAGATATTTAACAAGACTATCGAGATAAAAATAGTACTTAGAAGTAGATACATAACTCGATAATATGGCGAAAGAATGATTTGATGATAGCATGGATGCGTATCTTTTCATGAATTTTATCTCGTATCGCAACGACGTTAAAAGGTTTGGGTGAGATGTGATCCAGCGAAGTGGAAAAATTGTGGCTTTAAAATTAAACAAGTGGCGATTGCCCCTTTACGGATGGATAGATAGACCAATTAGCAGCGGCTTACATAAAAAAAACATGAATTAGGATCCAACAATATCTAAAGGACTTTTGAAAGGGGAAGGGGAGGGAAGTGTGACCAATTCTGGGAAAGTAACAAGAAACAGAATCTAAAAGATATGTAAACTATTACGGAACTGCCACATCGTGTGTTAAGAACACCTAGAAAACAGACACTGGTCTCGGTGCCAAGTATCCAACCTATAATGAGGGGTGAAAAATCAGAACTTCTCTACAAGTCGACATTCCAAGAAGACGTTAAATGAAGTAAGTACAAATAGTAACAGCATAACAATAACACGACCTTCAATGGCTACACTAACAACAGCGATGTTTCTAATGAGCTAAGTAAACTAATTATCGTGACTAACTTTAACAATGAATTTACAAACACTTCAGATTATCGCGCTCTGTAAAATATCTAAGGAAGAGCACATTATCACTTTTTCACTGAACACTTCACTTAATTTCATCACTAAGCTCTAACACAGGTAATTTTATTTTCTTCATCGCCGAAATGTGCACAGAACGTCGTGCAAACGATACGTTTTCATACTAATAAAATGCATTCATATCGGTTCTGAGTCAACGTCTACGTAGTTATTTCTACTTGGTCACAGATCATGAATTCTGTGTAGTACACTCGGTATGTAGTGTGTCACGCGACGTGAACACTCGATTATTAAATTTCACAAAACAGGGTGATGGAATCATAAGCGAACTCGGCACAGGTGGGTGTAACACTGCGGGGCTTCGCTCCACAAAGCGAAATGGCACGGGGAGATAAGCTGATAAGTGCGATACCAATTTTATATGAGTCGGGCATTGTGTGCCGTGAGCCCAGCTATTGCTACAAATATTTGCACTTCCTACGACACGACACTGTACAGTTTTTCCTTCATGTAAGCGTGCACAGTAATGTGCCGAATTTTCGTTAGGATTCGGTTCAGAAGCATTAGTTCAAAAGCTATCAAATCACAGGTGCGCCTTTAATTTTATAGGTACATTCGCTGCTGAAACTTCATTTACGGCCGTCTGTGAGACTTTCTCTCATACAACGAGAAATTCAAAAGGCTAATTAACCATTGATGTGAAGGTTCACATAATATTTATAGAACAACCAAATTACCTTGTGGTTTATCATAGGAATAGAAACAAAACTTTAGTTATATATTCAATTATTTTAAACTGGCCAAATGCGAGTCGGACTCACAAACGAAGGGTTCCGTACCAAAGTAAAATACATATTTGAAACTAGATAGAGAAACAAATCGTCAAAATACGAGATTCATGGTGTGGAAACCTGTTCTTTATCAGTTGCTGTAATAGCCGCTATCAAAGTAACACGCACATAGAGCCCTTTGACTGACAGAAAGACAGTGGCGCTATGTTGATAGGGTTCCGTTTCGATCCCGTGCCCTGTGGGGTCGGAATATTAACAAATGCTTCCCATTAAAATAAACATAGAAATTCACCTAGTAGTAACGCAATTGTTTAAAAATAATTAATAAAAATCTTAATTTTTTATATTTACATACTATTCAAGTCAGGGACTTCATAATACATAATTCGTAATTTTCTCAATGTATAGTAAGTAGCAACTTCGACAACTAATGTTACAGAAATCGTTCAAAGCTGTTATTTTGTTCCAGGTCAGAGTTTTGGCATACCGAATTAAGCTTGCGAACAATAACGGTTGTCGTCGAGTTCACCAGACAAAACAATACCCCAAAAGTCACGTAGCAGTGCTCTCATAAAAATATAAACGCAATGGTGCTTTTGTGTGTGGGGACGCGAGAGCGAAAGACGGGGTTCGGTGAATTCACGTTCATGATCGCAAGACGAGCGAGTGTGGTCACGACCGTGTAAAATAATGTCGCAACTGGCACTATCTCACAGGCAGAACGTGCACTACCGATGTCACCCGGCGTTATGGCTGAGTTTATTCACCGCTAAATGCTTTCTAATTTAATAAAACCACAACTCCATTTATTACAATAAAACAAAAATAAGAGTTCAGACTCACCGTCAGGAACGTCCTCCACAGTTTCATCGTCATCAGTCTTCTGCTCGTCTTGGTGCTCTCTTTTTTTAATCGCCTGTAAATAAAATGTCTTTCAAAATACTGCTCCAAAATAAATTCGAAAGGAAATCGGCGTCGTGCAATTTAACAAACAGTGTAAGTGTCCACATGTAACGTATCTCGATCTACATCGAAGTGCGAGTAAGGAAGTTGACATCAATTCCGTGTTATAACAGTAAGTGAAATGGTATGATCAAGCCACAGTACTGAAGCGAGGCAAGCCAAAACTAAATTCATTCGAATCTAAATTGAAATCTTTCGTTGAATGTCTCTTTATCTCACATACGCATCTCACCCGGGCGAGCCATCCTCCCGCCGCTTTCAAGCACCTCATTTTAATAAGTACAGATAAGGTGTAGGTAGCCGGGCAGGGTGTTTATTGGCGATTTATTTAACACTGCACTGGTATTGAGAAAGCGACACTTCACTTATCGATTAATCGCGGTACACGAAGCATTGTTGCGATCGACGCGGTGTAAGGCACTCATTTCTGCGAGTCTCGCGGAGGGTCTACGGCGAACGTTGTGGTCGAGGGCCCGCGTGCATCAGCCCGTAACACCCGCTGTATACCGACAATTACCACGGTTGGGTCGCGGTCGCAAAGATTGAGCGATTTGCGGATTTATTACTTCTCGGCACGCTCATTTTCTATAACCGAATTCATAGTGAGAAGAGAGCATCATTTATAATGATAAATAACTACGAAATATTTTTTTAACACGAGTCATAACTCAGAAAGACGCGCAAACTCGCTCTGTCGAACGCTCTCCAATAACATGGTCGCAGTCTGTAGGCGCGATGTGAAACAGTCTCACGACTCTATTGTTTCTGGTATTCTCCATCGAGCAAGAAATTTCGACTCGACTCACCGTCAGCTTTTACCCTTTCGCACAAAGCCTCGTACTTAGTAACGTATACAATTTAGATGCCATTGTAATAAATGGCAAGTGATAGTAATCGCTATTTTTATTTGACTAACTAAAAATCTCGGCTCTGTACAATAATAGGAATCGGTAGATCAAAATAACGAAACTGATATTAATAGGCGAGATCGTATCGGACGCAAGAGAAATATGAAATATTATCATAGCAAAGGTAGATCATCTGCTCTTACAGAGATAAAATCTGTGTAACTGAACAGTTTCGTATTGGTTAGCGATTTACAGTACCGTAGAAGCTTGCGAATAAAAGGTTTCTTTGTCTTCTGTGCTAAATTTGGTTTGATAACTTTAGATTCTTTGAATTATCTTTATAATAAGTTTATGTTGAACTATCATCAAACAAGAGTTAAAAGTTACTCCTAGTCTGGTTAACCAAAGATATTTTACTCTAATCTCAACAAAATCGCAAGAGATATGGAATATTTAAATGTAACAATTATGAAACTCTGCTATTTATTGAAATCTGCCAGTGTTAAAAGTATTAAATTTAGGTAAAAATTAATCGGGACCGTCGTGTTCATACAAATTTTAAGAAAATTATTACTTTCCACACTGATCATATTAATCTATAAACCGTTATCGACCAGCGACATACATTGAATTGAAGTATGTATATGCAAAATTTACAACATCCTGTGAAAATTTATAGTTTCCAAGCTGTATACAACCATTTAATGACATTCGCAGGATATTATCCCAGAAATAAATTGACGTACGGAGTTACTAAGATAGATGTCTGAGAGAGCGGGAGAAAACTCGTTTTATTTATAAGGACTTGTAGGGTCTTTTTGAAGGTAGCAATTTTATCTTAAGCCGTGAAAGTTACTACCATTATACTTTCTAGACGAGAAAATTATCACTCCCCGGTCACTCGCAGAATAATTTGCGGGTTAAAATTGTAGCACTGCCTTTAAATAGCGATTCTCCTTACAAATGGAACTTTAGCGGACACAAACACAAAAACAAATATTACCTACAAGTGAAGAATTTTAACACATGAGGCAGATTAATGAAAAAAAAAACATTGTTAAAATGTGATTCATTATTTATTTCCGAGTGACCTTTGAGATGTGCCTAGTTATCTGATTTAAGAACAATCGTAATGATGGTTCAGTGCTTCTCATAATGTTGTCACATTATTTTGTTTTTGTTCTTGCTTTGAATAAAATGAAAATTAGTTTATTTCTGAATATTTTTTGCAGCAGTAAAAATATTTTTTTTTGCTGACATTAATAAGTTAAAAACTATAGTTACATACTTTTAACAAAACAAGAATCAATTTATTATTGTAAATTGACAGTATTATTATAATATTTGTTTCTTAGGTTTTCACGCACATTACTCATTAAATAAACTTTGAGTTAGAATAAAGTTTTATTCTGACGACGAAGCCTGTAAAGGGTACGAAACCTCAATAAATAAATAAAGTTTCGTGCATTAACCCGTAAAAACTAGTTTTATTTAGTATTATTATAACCTAAATGTACAATGATATAGACATAACAAATAGAAAGACTAAAAATAGGCATGCTCACGTTGTTAGTACAAAATTATATGTCACAAAAACAGCAACATTTGCATTCTAAAATACAAATACGTGTGTATTCGGGCGTTGAAACGCTAAACGGAATGTGCTTCCAAACGAACAAGCAAGCTAATAAATAGCTTGTTTTCTTTGATTAATATCGTGTAATGAGGAGTGAATTATTATAGTAGAGCAAATGAAACTGCTCGTAAAATAAAAAGTATAAGTACTGTGTCAAAATATCGTTAGCAATGAAAAGGGAGACCAAAACAATTACAGTCTGTGAGATATACAAAAAAAAGGTAACGGTTGAACGGGAAGTATTCTAAAAAATATATTATTTTCGAAGGTAGCTCGACAAATTAAATAAAAGTTTGATTCCGACGACGTAGCCTGTAAAGGCTACGAAACGTCAATAAATAAATAAAGTTTCGTGCATTAACCCGTAAAAACTAGTTTGATTTAATATATTATTGCAAATTATATTTAAAACCTATGCATTAAGTCGGTTCGTTGAAACTAAGACAAGGAACATTAAAATTTAAAAAACAACGATCAAGTCATTGTAATTAAGGTCTTTTTACAAAACTACGCTCGGGACACGCTATAAAAGTAAAACGAAAGTAAAATAGTTTCCGATTAGCGTTTCATCCGTATTGACATTAGCACCCCCACTAGAGTCCGCGTTAATCAAATTTTGTTTGCAATCGCAAAATTGGTGTCGTGCGGGGAGGGTAAGATGCGGACATCAGCAATGCCAGTGGTACAGCTATGCCGCTGCCTTTTGTGGAACACTCTTTTAAAGCCTCTCTTGAAGAGGACCATGTTATATGACTGAGGAAATACCGTGAGCTAATTCTATAATTATATTGTCTGTAGTTTGCGGTCTCTAGTGAGAGTGGTGTGGTATACACACCGGCACACTTCTTGCGCAACGACCAACGACAATAAAGCCTGCGCAGTAGCAATTTTATATACAAAACCGTCTACTGTGCAAGTTAATTTATCTTAGGTTTTGCTCAAGAAGTAAGCCTACATATATTGACGCATGCGCATGCAGCACCTGCGCAATGAGATCGCGCGCGCGGCCCGCGTCTATCTGGTTGACGCGCTTGTTCTTGAGGTGGTGCGGCGTGTCACGGCGGTGCAGTCGGCCGCCGGTGACAGCGCCACGCTCCTCCACCGTGTTGCGCCACGCGACTCGCCGCGAGCCTCGCTACACCGTCACCGTATTACTCACTCGCGTGAGGGTCAAAGACACGGAAAGACTGAACTGAGCATTCTTAGCAAGCTGTGCGATAAATGCAAACGCGAAAAATGCCCACTAGCCAAGTGCCCGCATTTTTCAGCCCGTTGGTCGCACGATATAGCATTCTCTCTTTTAAATAGGTGTTGCTCAGTCCATTCTCTATGTCTATGTGTGAGGGGATAAATATTGCGGAATAGATAAAAAGAAGATGGAAGAGCTTTGTGCGCGAAAAAATCAACGGCTACTGTCAGAACGATGTAGACAAAAGAAGTACAGTTTTTGCATTCCACTGTGAGAACGAGTTTTGGCTCGCTTCGTGGGAGAAATAAAAGGCGTCACTAAGTTTTATTAAAAACCCTCACTGATAATCCTTTCCACATGTAGCTTTTTATCTATTCCGTGGTGTGTACGTACACATCGTACGAATGCGAAACGCTTGAAATTTTATACTATCTTCGTCCTGCCTAAGTGGGCAAACATACCCTTTTAGTTAGAAATTTGGAACTTATTTAACTTCAAATATCAAATTGATAGGTTTCGTGATAAGAGTTGAAGTTAAACAATTAGAGGGCTGGAGCGTGTTCCGGAAAATAATCAGACTCATAATTTGCCGTTCGTGTCAACATTTATTATAGCAATCGGCTGAAAAAGTGCTCATTTGAGTGGTAGGCCAAGACTTCGAGCACTATTCAGTAAGGCATGATATACTTAAATCGCGTTACAACAACAAAACTTATTTTATTTGGAAAACAGTTTTGACTCATCTTATCTGTGGAGTGTAGAAGTTGCAATTTATTAATAGCTATATAACTTTATATGGTCATATAGGTACAGTGGTGGTCGTATAATTAGAACCACTACCAAAGTTCCTTGACATTATGTAAGATACTTCACCACAATCGTTTTTATTTTGAAAGTCAACAATAAATAGGACAACAATATTTTCTAAGATTTAACATTAGAAAAAGCAATATTAATCCCATTACACAAGTGACAGACAAATATTTAAATCAGTTTTAAGGAATGAACAATAATGGTCTACTTATTAGAAACAACAACAAAAAGTATAAAAAACAATATTTTTTTAAGTTTTAGTAATCAGTATTGATATTTATGAAATAGCTACTATCAACAGCCAACCAATAGTTATAATTAGAATTTATGTATCCCTTATTGCCAATAACAGTACGTACTGCAACGACTTGGTATTGATTCAATCAATTTTATACATTTTTCTAGGGGGATTGAATTCCATGCTTCAAAAAATGCTTCATATAGTTCGTTTTGACTGGTGTTACGTTTGTTTGAGACTTTCTTTTTAACAATGTACCAGAGATTTTCTATCGAGTTTAAATCCGGACTATTTGCTGGCCAGTCTAAAACGGGTATACGCTGTTCGCTAAGGACATTTGACGCTATTGGCCGTATGTTTAGGGTACATTGTCATGCTGAAAGATCCAGGTTACAGGCAAATGATCGTCCGAGTAGGGTCATTAGGTCATTAGGGTATAGGGTCATTAGGGTAGGAATCATTGTGCTCTAAGATATTTTTGTATTGCCATTGATTCATGCCATTGGACCCGTTCGGTTGGAACCTTTACTTGGGTCTTTTTAGCAACACGAACGATTAGCGTATCTTCTCTGGGAGAGATTTTTTTTGGCAGAATATGAACATTTTCAACAATTCCATGTGTTTTATAATGATCAATTGTATTAAAAACTTTCTGAACAGAACAATTGAAATGCTCAGCTATTCTTCTGTACGCCCACTTATGATCTATATGTACATTAACAATTATTTGCCTAGTTGATACGTCACCACTTTTATTTTTGCACATTTTGAACAAAATCAAATTCAGATTAAGTTTTGAATTGCCGCCATAATAATAGGAAAAGTCAAGAATGAAATGTTATTCTCCAATTTAAAAAAAAGAACGAGCTATGAATGCTTTTTTAAAAGTTTCTAATTAGGCGTCCAAACGGCCAGTAACAGAAAATAAACTCCTACATGTGTAAGACTCATTTTGTAATTAAAAGCTGGATGTGTTATATATTTTATGCATTTAGTGAGTTTTTATTTGAGTGGCTATATTATTGCATGATTATTAATTATTGAATGTGTATATTTTTACGAACAATTGTACGTTGAAGTGTTTCTAATTATATGACCACCTCTGTATATCTCGCTCAACGTAGGTGGCTGCTTAGCAACCCGAAAACGTCGCATAACTATGGCTGCAATTTCTACAATGAAAACCAATCGGTCAAGGTGTCATGCAGGATTCGAACCTGCACCTTCCGCTAACCGTGCGAATGCACTAACCGCTAAGCTACCGACACCCTCATCGTGTCGAATTTTTTCTACTTTTTCTTAGCTACATTGGTTCTGACTGTTCACTCTTTTAAAACCTATATACAATATTGTACTAGCAGTTCACACTACATTAACGCGAAAACTTTTTATATAGCGACGCATTCGTCAGATCTGTACGCACCCTGAAAGTGAGTTAAAGCCAACGTATAAGAAATGTTATGAAAGCATTACTCCCTAAACAAAGGTCGCTGAAACGTGTTCCAAACTCGAGACAAACTAAACTAAACTTCAATACTAACGCGAAATGCACACAGACCAAACTACTTTGACAAATCAAATATCTGCAAATATCCTTTCCATTCATTAGGTAAGATAATGTTAAACGGAAATCACAACTAATCCCATGATCGGCGTGTTGGTAGCAGTGTTTTCATCCTGCCCACTTGTTCGCAGTTTGCGCGGAACCAGTTTTTAGCGTAGTTCGTATCCCATATTATTTCTAATTCGTTGGTTGAAGCCAAACAGAGAGGAACCCGCGGCCAACTCATTGTTCGCGAGCGACAACCGTCTAATCACAGCTATTGTTGCACGACAGCCGCGGGCTAGGTCGTAGGCTACTGTGCACTGTTTTGTTTACTATGTTAGATTTAGCCATAGATAGTGTCAGAGACTCTTACGATAAATGATTCCAGAATTGAGAAATGCAAATAGTATATATACAACATTTTGGATAACAATTTTCAGGTTGTGAAAGTACTGTTAATCTGTTAACTTTGTAACGTTTGATCAATCTAATACTTTAGCATGACATATCTATATGAGCAGTACCTACCTCTGACTGTGTCTTAGAGAAGATGCGAAACATTAAACTAAATAAAATGAACCTGATGAGTATTTCGTCAGAGTTGGAATTAACAATGTATTCAAAAATCTGTCCCTTTTATTGAAAGCCTTTAAAATTAAGAGAACATTAAAATGAATCCGTTTCAATTCAATTACAAAAAAAAACGGTTTATTTGTGGTAAAAAGTGAGTACTGAGAAATTACTTACTTACCCATAATTTAATGACCACTTTAATTCTCACGGTAGTCTAATGATTAGTAATGATTTTAAATACATGTTATTGTAAAAATCATTGGTTGGGAACCTCTGTTAAAAACACTTCCCGTAAATGTTGTATTTGATTAAAAAAAAAACTGTGAGTAATTTGTTATGATGTGCCAGGTACAAAGTAGAAAATCACTGCGAATACATTAACCATTCCAGTATTTTCAGGTTAGTAATAAATATTGAAATGGAAAAAATAACCCAAAATTGCATAAATTAACAGTTAACCATACTTGAACTACTCCACCGATTGAATGTTATAACGGTCAAATACCAATCACATTATAATTACTTCCTACACGCTTCATTGCTACTGTTAATATGGTTATAAGAAGTTTCAATAAATTACTTGGACACCATCGATATAATATTTATACTCATTGCGTACAGCCAAGGCAATAACTTAGATTAAATACACGAACGCTTTGAATATAGCTGTTAGTAATATGCAATCGGCGATGTAATTGTATTTACAAATAAATGCTTGAGTATAGGCAAAAGAATTTAGATTTTTCACATGTACTAAAATTTCGATGGTATTCAAATTAAGTTAGTGAAAGTCTACCATGACCATTTGAATTGATTATAATATTAGAGTGTATAATATTTTATTAACATTTCAGTAGATTATATTGCCTTACCTCTAACTCGTCAGAGTCGTCGTTATCTTCGTTTTCACCTTCGGAAGATTCTCTATCAGCGGCCGTTTGCGTATCGCTTTCATCATCTTTAACCATCTCTTGGGGTGCTTGAGTTTGTTGAATAGTCTTAATAAAAAGAAACATACCATTCATACAGTTCAGAAATGTAAATGGTTAATTTACCCGTTACGGATATAGTATAAAATTTGTTCCGTACGATAAAGCTTTACTTCATCATCTCGAAATTTCAGAAGCATTCTGCATGTTGTAATAAAATTTCACGTTCTGACAAAGTTTGCCGTCATCGACGTCGTGAATATACATAGTATCCCAAGTTTGTCATATGGAGAGGAAGTACCTTAATTATTACTGTATATAGAAAGTTTTGCTGAAGGAAGGCTTTATTTTTAAAACAATAATATTAAATCTTAAATTTCATAATATTCTTTTTATTTTATATGACTAAGAATAAATAGAATTGCATTGAGCATTTCGATCGGTAGGTACTTTTTTAAGTACAGTATTTAAGTATCTAATTTTAAAGTTTTAGGACAACCTGTATAATTGAAAGCAAATTAAGCGACGCAGCTAAGTTTCTTTAATATTTAACAGTAAAGAAATATTTGATTTACAAAAATAAAATGAAAACCACTTTAAAGCTTGCAAGCATTTGTGTATCATTTTCACTAAAATTAAATTATTTCAACTCATTCTCTGTCGCTCGCGGAGTCGATTTCTTTTCTCAAGTGTATTTTACTGTTACAGTTTATATTAAATGAATGTATACAATAACATACACCTACCTAAGTCTTTGATAGATTTTTGTACCATTTTTCTATGAGACATCGAAAAACTCTAATAAGTCAACATATTACTATTTCACATAAAGAACAAGAATATTGTAACAGGGTTTGGGCAGCCCCTTGGTGCACCAAATTGGTGTTCTGTGTACCGAACAAATAATCCTATAGACCGGGAGATGATGACACAAAATACTTGGTCATTTGTACCAGTATGGCGGTTCTTCAGGGGTCTAATTACGTAAAGGCAAAAAGGAAAATGATGGTCATAGCGCTCGCACCGGCGGCCCAATCGCGTGGGCGTTAATCGAACGCGTCGGATAAATAACGAGTGTCGAACGATTTGTTCCACAAAAATGCTTATATTTTCAGATAGTCGAAAAAAAGAAGTAGGCGGTAGCGTAATGCCATACTTCTCGGGTGTGACTTACAGCCCGCCATACCGACGCGAATACATTAATTTAAATAAAACAATTCAACCATTTGTACCAGGCTAATTTTTGCACAGCTAATCATCGTCGAGTAGCCATTCACGAAAATCACCTTGCCATACTTTTCCGACAGTTCCCAATGGCCGCCATACCGCTGCAAAGGAGTATTTTTTTTTTCGCCAAACGATTTGTACCAGTATTGCATTTGAATTTTTGGAAAGTATTTGGCAAAATGTGACCGTTATTATTTGTCCCATACTTCTAGTAGGGGGAAAAAGTGCTGCCATACTTGAAATACTTATTTATTTGACACGTTTTAAAAATACGACTGCAAAATACGTAAAATCATTTTTTACATCATGACATCATTGTATTCTCGTCATTTGGATGCAATTGTACGTAAAAAAAATTATTACAGATTGTAAACATGGGGTGGATGACTGTCGGACTTGAGCTAAAAGGTGAAAAAGAAAAAAAAATTTGACGATTTGTACCAGTATGGCATTTGGATTTTTGGAAATTATACAATACAATGTGACCATTATTATATTTGCCATACTTGTAGTAGAGGGAAAAAGTGGCGCCATACTTGAAAAACCTGATTTTTCGACACGTTTTCAAGGTACAAGACATAAAATCATTTGTTACAGTATGGCATCATTGTATTCGGTTTATTTGGATAAAATTCAACCTAAAAAAAATAATCCCATACTATAACTATGGGGCGGAAGACTGTCACACTCGAGCAAGATATGAAAAAAAAAATTGGAACGAATTGTAAAAATATGGCATTTTAAATCATTTCCAAACTTGAAAAAAACAACTAAGTTTTGGGAAAATTACACAGTACTTATGGAGAAGTGCCAAAGTGATGCCATACTTGAAAAAATAATTTTCGGATTTTTTTTTTGTGTTAAAAAATAAGCCTATACCGTGACCAGGGGGGCTGGAGCTGCCACACTCGCTCTGATATGCCGACAACTAATACATCTTGAAACCTTTTTTCGAAATAGCCCACCTGTAATATCGTGAAGGGTACATGTAAAAAAAATTATATGCAATATCAATATTAATGCAGTTTAATCCGAAAGATTTACAAAAATGCATCGAATTCAAATGTAATCGGAACCGGAATCCTCGGCATCTTCGAATTCTATTTAGCTAGTTTTGCTATTAGCCGATAGATGAAATATTGAGAAGTGGGCGGAGCTGAACACCCCGCATCCCGCAAATTATCACGCGTCGTTTCTTGAGGAAATTTAATCACCCTCCTCTTTGTTTTTCCTCCGTGTGTCTTACCAACACGATGAGCCAAGACCTCTACAATTCGAGAAATCTTTCGAGCGGTGGGAACCGCAGAATATTATACAACATAAAATCTGCTTATAAGACAAGATTGCCGCCACTTAGGTGTTTGAAACTTTGTATTTATATTCGTTAAACCTCAAACTTACAGGAAAAATTAGTGCCATACTGGTACAAATCGTTCGAATTACGAATAAAATCTTGGGACTTTGAAAAAATATTGTTCACATTCGCCACCTCCCACAGGTATGGCATTATCAGACTTCTATTTATGATCATACGGGGAACTGTTAAAAAAAGTTTCAGGGTGGTACAAATCGTTTGGCGAAAAAAAAAAAATTACTCCTTTGCAGCGGTATGGCGGCCATTGGGAACTGTCGGAAAAGTATGGCAAGGTGATTTTCGTGAATGGCTACTCGACGATGATTAGCTGTGCAAAAATTAGCCTGGTACAAATGGTTGAATTGTTTTATTTAAATTAATGTATTCGCGTCGGTATGGCGGGCTGTAAGTCACACCCGAGAAGTATGGCATTACGCTACCGCCTACTTCTTTTTTTCGACTATCTGAAAATATAAGCATTTTTGTGGAACAAATCGTTCGACACTCGTTATTTATCCGACGCGTTCGATTAACGCCCACGCGATTGGGCCGCCGGTGCGAGCGCTATGACCATCATTTTCCTTTTTGCCTTTACGTAATTAGACCCCTGAAGAACCGCCATACTGGTACAAATGACCAAGTATTTTGTGTCATCATCTCCCGGTCTACTAGTGCAGTAGGCAAAATAAATCCAAAATTGCACTAGACAACAAAGATTCAGTGTAATTTTATTGTTTCATGAAGAACTCTTGATGAACCTTAAATTGAGTTATAAAATTTTCGAGATCATTAAAATGTTGACGTGTATAACAAAGAATAAAATCGTAGCATTTACTTAAACATAAATTATAATAATTAAATGGGGTTTAAATTAATGCAATCTACCTTAAGTGAAATCAAAATAATCATAATAATAAATTCTGGACAACACAACAATTATTCAGTCCCTAACTAAGCTGATCTTGTACTTCAAAAATATACTTATATAATTGTATAACGTAAATTTTACAATAATATAAGTACATACATAAAATACCATGACTCAAGAATAATTATTTGTGTTTATCACAGAAAGAAATGCCCCCAACATTGCACCGAGACCGGTTATCCAATAATATTTTGATTGAATTTACATTTCCATGAAGATTTTAGTGTTATTCGCATATATAACAATGATCGAGAATCAATGATATTCTATTATTTATTTCTATATCAGAGATTGTGGAAAGTTAAAATTTATCATTATTTTTCCTAAAACATTTATACAACGACGTGATCAATACAGCCACGGTCAACTTCAAATGAATTCGGAAAGATTTAATATAGTTATTATATGTGTATGTTGTGTCGAAATCGGAGCTCTCCATAATATCGAGTTAGGCCTAAGATCGATGTCAGTTGTTTTCATTTCAATATCGCCGTCTAACGAATGACTGAGTAATTAATACGTACCAAAAGAGGTATGCTAATTGAAAAAGTTCTTTATTTTTGGAGATAAAATGTTCGGTATTTCGACAAAGTTTAAGAATCAAACTCCAGTATGAGATAGGCCTATTTGAGCTTTGTTTTTTAAATATTTTTATTACATGCGTTATAATAATAACTGTTGCTAAGAAACGGAATCAGATTATTCTTGCCTTTACTGGAGGCTGATTATTTGAACTGGCTGTTAATGCAAAGATTGGAATGAATACTTACTCCAATAGTTTCTACGGCCGTTAGTACAGGTTCTGGTGGCGATAATGGTAGTCCGTTGGTTGTGGGCGGTGGTTCTTGCTGCACATGAGCGTTCTCTGGCGAGCGGCCCAGTAATTTGTGTGCTTTCGCCTTCAGCTCCTTCGGGTGCGGTGTATTCTGACGTACGAACGGAGTCTGAAAAATAAACGAAGTGTCAATTGTGATCTTACCAAATAAGACTGGCAAATCTCTTGATCGTAAACTATAGACAACGAAGACTGCGCCGTAGCAATTTTACATACACAAACGTCTCCCGAGCAAGTTTGTTTGTCTATGGTTTTATTCAAGATCGTTGCCGCTTAGAATAACAATAGAGGAAATATTCTCAAAGCTCATGCATGACTGCAACAATCGTCAAAATAGATGGGGAGGCATATAAAATAGTAGAGCACTCAAAAGCAAAAACAACTAAAATCTTTTTTAACCATATCAATAGGTCGAGATACAGATATAATGAAATGTTTAGATCAAGATACTTTCGTAAAAGTAAGTTACATCTATAGAATTACAGTATATTATTTAAAAACAATCTTCACTATGAAAAATACATAAAAGATCATAGAATAACAAGAACTTTTAACGAGATAATTTCCAGTAATCTTAGTACGAAGTAATAAATTCTAAATAGTAAAAATAACTAGTGTGTGCATTGTTCACTAGTAAGAAAAGCAAAGCCTTACGCATCTAAACAAAACATGGCTATAGGAAACCTCATAAAAGTGCATCAAGGAGTGTAATGTGATACGTCAATTCACAACGAGACGTTGCGTTTATCGCGACCGCGAGGCCACCTAAAATGTTATAATTGCTTGTTAACCTACACCTATCCAGCGCTTAATAAATTAGGCTAAAAAGATGATTCACAGGATATGATATCACAAGCAGCCTCACGCCCGCGACAGAGCGACGTCTGCGATACAAGCTAATCTGTTAAGTGCAGTTCAAATAAAGTGTTGTATGGCAAAAGGTGGACAATGTTCTTTAATAATTATGCAATAATTCCTTATAATGGGAACGCAGGTAAGAATGGTGTGAATATGTATATCAAGCATTGTTATTGTGTATCGGATATGTAAGGGTTCTGATCATACAGCTCGTGTTCATACGGAGATTAGGATATCTTTTTTGTAGGTGTGGAAAAATGCTGAATTTTAAATCTAAAAGAAATTCTAGTCTAATGCTTTAAGTCTACTATCAGCAAAACAAATAACTTCTAATTATAAATTGATAATAGTAAAGAATTAGAGGTTTTAATAGCGGGCACTCGATTGGAATGCATTCACAATTAGTTTTCATTTCAGATTGTTCACATTTCAGATCGTGATAGCTGAATATGAAGAAAGAATAGGTATTAAAAAACCCAGATGTATTGAAAAATACAAAGTGCTTGCACTAGCACTATGACTCGAAAAGTGAAATTCAATCATGTAACATTAGTTACCAAAGCGTTGCAAGATTTTTATCATTAAGTTAACGTCACCTCGGATAAAATATCAGTGCAATTATTATGTATGTATTCGTGTTTTAGCTTCGTGTCGAAGGCGCTTTCCACCGGTTTTAATCTACAGTTACTGTACTGTCGAGAAGCAAGGGAAATTTCTGATTACCACCTGACACAGCGGGAAATGACGTTATGTACTTAGGTAATGATAGGCGACTTTCTCATAAAATCTAAGTCTTATTTTTTAACCATTAATTTATTTATAGAACGTAATTTCCTTGTATCGGATTAGCTAGCAAAATGCGTTGACTTTATGCGGATGCAATTTAAAACACACATTAGATAAGATAGCAATCTGTTAATGAATTCATCTTGGAATCAAATCGAATTAGAATAATATGTCTGAGTATATTCTTAAAACATCTTTTATTTGTGATTGCCTTCCAATATGAGTTGCCGCGTACCTCCGCGAGATTATTTATAGAGGAAGACATTCTTTGCAGAGAGGTCCTGCGCGGTGTGGTGACCAGTTTGCGGACTACGTTAATAGGCCGACGGAGCCCTAACATCGACTGTGCCACAGCGAACGGCTCAGAAGAGAACTCGTCTTCATTTTCCTCCTGAATCGACGTCACCTTAAAACCAAACATTATCTTTCCAGGATCTAGCTTACTTCAACGGCAAGCTAAATTATTTGTATGACAGTTCAAGTTTAACGTTTCTCTAGTCTGTATTATAAATAAAAATAAGTCCCTGATGTTATTGTTATTAAACGGATTATAAAAGTTATTAGCATTCACTTTTTAGTGTAGGTATATATCACTTCCATCATAAATTAAATTTCTGATGGGTGAAAATCCTGTCTGATGCCTTGAGTCGAATTGTTCTAGTAAATTTTTTTTTAGATTTATAAATGAAATTAGTCAAAATCACAATTGAGTTAGAAGTGTGTGAAGATTATTTGTAGCTTGAATACTTACAGAAACAATTATATTTATAAATAGATTTACGCAGTAGTAAAACAGGAGACCTTTTTATATACCTATGTAAAACCCTAACCTTATACCCAGTACATTAAAGTATTCAAATAAAAAATACAACAATTTATAATAGCTAGGATTTACCCCACAAGTCGTATTGTGTTTGAATTCTGACTCCAATAATTTTCCTATTAATGACAGCTAGTAGGGACAGCCCGCACGTTTAATGGAATACTGAGCTATTAGTACTCAAGTCAAATGGAATACGGATTCCATCCATTAAGCTTACGAACTATTCCCAGAAACGGGCCTTCCCTATGAATAGAATTATATAGGCATAAGGGCCGGTACCATTAAACAACGTTAAGCTTCAATTTAGTTATAATCCTTTGCGTATTAGCAGAACATGAAAGGTGCATCAGTGCAAGATTAAAGTTAACATTAGCCCTAAATAATAAGCTTTGACTAGATATGCAGTGTTTTGTTCAAATTACTCAAATGTTATTTGTGGTCCGATAAACAGACAGACTCACAAAGTTAAAACACAGCGTCCTTTATTCATCGTTAATTATCAAGAGTATTAAAGTAGTATTTACTGTATAGTATTATACAATAAATACTACTTTAATACAAACAAAAAATAGTAAAAATTTGTCAAAACAACACCTGCATTAGTTTTGTTTCTCATTTTAAATGCCCTATCCCTTCGCAAATTCATACTAACTGTAATAACATTTAGCAGCTGGCACGATGTTTTTCTATCACTGCGAAAATTAGTGTTTAATAAAAGTTGTAAAAAAATCTAAGTCTGCGATCGTCAGATTTATTTTACTCCTTAAAGTTGACAGAAATGTTGTATTTTTTTCCGCTAGAGGCGCTGCTGTGAAATGTATGGAAATAAACAGAACAACTTGAAACAATTAGGGACTTTGCAGCCTTATTGTAGCCAACCCAGTCATAATTAATGTGTTTGTAACATTTTCCTAAATATTTTGTATACTCAATATATACATTCATTGCTCAAGAATAAGCCAGAACCATATACGCCTAAATCAGAACCAGATTATGTATTTCTCAATTTATTCTCGGTATATTTTATTCCACAGATTCATAGCTTATTTTTACATTTGTACATCCATGTGTGAGTATCACCATTACCATAAAAACCATGCAAAAAATGAAACATAAACATAAAATAATACAATTTTATTGCAAAAATAAATTATCGACGATATCCACCATAAGCAATCTTATAATCTAAGAATATTTTGTACATCATCACAACCTTTCTTTACAGATTACAATTTCCTTGCAAACAGACGGTGTTTTGAACGCATAAATAGATAGAAAGCATGCTTCATAAAATAAATATAAAACAAACTGCTGGCTGATACAAATGTAAGATTATTCCAACGCTACAAGTATCGTACTCAAAGTTAAATATGCCGAGTGCATAGAGCACCTATTGCGAAAGTTTCTGAACCAAGCCCTAGTGCTGCTGCATCTTCGCCTTACAGTGTTGCCAATGTCGCAGAAGCGTAAAGGATTCCTGTACTGATAGAGCTTGCGAGCTTGCTTTGGAAAGCCACCGGTGTTGATTTGTGTGTAGGGAGCGCTAGTGGGGAATATGTTACAACACCATAGTCTCACCTCTCTTGTTTCCGGGACGTCTTCGGTGAACTTGACTGAATGCGTCCGCGAAGCTTCCTTCTCTTCCCAATCATCATTATCCGAATCCCGATCCCGTGACGCGCTGGATTCTATTAAAAGGGAGTGCCATTGTCATTAGTCGCATTATCAATTGCCATTCCGCTACCGGCAGAGCGATCGAGTGAAGCTCTGTTACGCAATGATGATAAGGTAATTATATAATTTATTTAATTTGTTGATACTGAAATTGTGCTAATCGATCACATTATTAAGGTGAATGATACTTATAGTGTAATATTTTTAACTAGTTCGTTAGCACGTAAAATGTTGCCCAATAATATATTTTTTGTGTCCTAACCTACTATTAAAAAATAATAATAAATAATTTTGAAGAACTTTCTATTCGTTCTAAGTATAGTCTACTAAACTGTATTTGAAATGAAAACTAAGGTAAACTAATTTGAAAACGACATTGAGAGAATAAAAATTTGCTGATCACGTTCACAACACAAAAGCTGTTTGGACGATACAGGACCAAAATCACACAACAAACATAGATCTTGTGCTTACACAGATTTAAACATGAACCATATAACGACATTGATCATAAGCATAAATCAATGGACGGTGGTACCTTTTACCGCTACTTGTACCACAACACCATAATAAAAAAATAGCAAAAATAAAATAAGCTGCCGAACCAGTGTATAGATGTAAAAAGTTTTCCATACTTACAAAAAATCTTTAATTTTCATATAAAAAGTTTGTTATTTTCGGTAAAATAGACAGTGTTTATGTTTTTCTTTTTACTAATATCAAAATAGTTATGTACAGTAAAAAAAGCAAAGGGTCATGAAAATTTTTGATGCAATAAACTTATCTAAAAATACTTTCAGCTAGCATGAGCACCGCGTAAAAATACATAAGCTCGTTTTTATCACGTTCAGTTGTCAAATTACTATGGAGTTTGACAGTCAGATGCGATGAAAAACGTGATATAATGTAAATTGTAGTGCTCATGCTAGGCGACCTGGATTTCACACCATTCCATATAGACTTTGCCAAATGGCATTGCGTGTGATCTCATATATGTTAACTAAAAAAACAAAATGGATAAAAAAAAAGAACTCCAAAATAGCCCAAACGATCCTTTACTTTTTGTAGTAAATATACATATCCGTGAACCTTACCTCTCACTCTATCTAGCTCTTGCGATTGTGAAAGATATCTGTGATCCCTCAACCAGTTGCCACTGCCGACCTCTGATGTGTGTTCCAGCTCTATTCGTGTGTAATAAGTGTCAAAAGTGGCATTTAGTATTTACACGGCAAAAACAAAACAAAAAAGCAAAGCGACAATTCACAAAAAATAAACAAAGATACATAAAATTTAAACTTAAGAATAATTTGTAAATAGTCGCGAATTAAAATGAAGCAAAAAAGGCGTCCAACTAGAGTACCATGATCTCACGTCTCAATATTAAGAAAAAGAATAAAAAAAATACTTTGACGCCTTTTATATCAATTGAATATAATATAGGTAATAATGAAATTTTCTTAAACTGAATTAAACGTGAATAATGCAAACTTTAAAACATTCACTTTGCAATATTCCTTTATTAATTTTTAGGCTTGTGTCAAGAACACAAGTCATCAGGATAGTATTAAAAAAAAATCCCCCACTAAAGTGCAACCTTAATATAACCTACCTCAATATAACGACTTCCTTAATTTAAGAAATTTTTCGTAATCTCCTTGAATTTTCCGTAAGAGCCAATGTAAAAATACCTTTACATTGCGAATATTTTTTGCGAACAACCTCTCTATAACAAATTTTCAACTAAAAAAGTATAAATACCTCTTAATAACGAATTTTGTCAACCAAAAATCTCTGTGTAACCTTTACCTTTCCATCAATATATGGCCCTTAATTCCATAGTACGTGATTCATGTCATGACAGAAAACTATTTTTTTACTTCCTTATAACAAACCTCAGTTGAACGAATTACTTAATATAACGAATATTTAGTTGTTCCATTCTGATTTATTAGATCGAGGTTGCACTGTATTTTTTTTTCTTTTCTTTCTTTCTTATTTAATTAAATTCAAGGTATTCTTGATAGTATAGTAGCGTGGTTTTATGACTAATTATGTTATGTCTACAAAGGGTTGAAGTCATTTATTTACCGAAATAAATTGGAACCCTTTTAAGGTTCGATCAATTATTAAGTTCTTTTATATAAAGTAAATAAGATGCCTGAGTTATTTATGAATAAGGGTCAAACGAATGGTCAGTCGTAGTTTGAACTTTGAACGATAATATTTTGATAATTTCTTTAAAATCCAAGTCAATAAAAGACGCCAAAGTAACTAATAGTTGAAAAATAATGTGCACAAGATGCTTGGTGTTCGTAATGCTCATTACTATAGTCGATATCGGTGATTTAATAATTTATCAGCTAATTTAAAATTGTTGATAAACAAATTTAAAGAAATTAAATAATCATGAAATATCTACCTTTTTTTAAAAAAAAGAGTGTGATGGCACCAAATCCATGCCTTCGTTAGTTAGACAGGACATTAAAGTCCTAGGATTAAACCGCTATTTACGTGCACGCAACTGTATCGTCAGATATATTCATGTTTGCCATATTAAAATTGAGTTTATTGTCGGGGGAATATAGCTGTATCTATAGCCAAAACAGCACTAAGACATGGCAAAAATTGCTGGTTGACTTATATTTGTGTGATACATTGCAATGTAAAAATTATATAACTGAAAGTAACATGCTAGAATAGCCTCTTCACTTTTTGGAAGTAAAAGGAATTGGTTAATAGTAGATATTAAAATCAAATATTTATAGCAAAAATATAAGTAGGAGAATACACCAAATAACTATTTGCCATTCAGCTTAAAGGACATTAATGCCTTAGATTGATTGATAAGCAGCTCCTGGTAAAGTATTTTTCTTTTACATAGATGAATGTTATCTTGCTAATTAAAAAAATAGATTATTGTTTTTAATAGCGCGGCAGATTAGAATGCAATCGGCAACCAAAGTAATGAGCTACGAAATCCACCAGAACAAATGAAAACTACCAGTTTTTGAAGGTTTTAAAATGGAGACGTAACAGAACACTAATAAAAGCAGTAAAGTTACCATGCTATGCATCATCATACCTGGTTGCTGGGTGTAACTAAGCTGCGGTAGGAGGAAGCAAGTGAGAACATTTTCACCGGTCGTTTCATCTCTGTCCGTTTGGAAGGTAAGAAGAGGTTGCGCTTGGTTTTCTGATAACCAAACAGCTTTAAGCTCCAAGTTCACTAAAGTATATGGTAAGTACTGTAACCTGAAAATTACAAAAAGAATTTTAATTGATACTAACAGAGATCATTGTATTGTATGTATGTGCTGTTCTATATTATAATTTAAATACAGAACCGTCTCGACTTCGAACGAACGGGTAAAATTTATTTTATACGCGATAAAATATAGCATAATATATAGTTAGGCTGAGATGATTCCGAATTGTGCTAACATTGGATTAAGACAAGCCTAATAGGCTGGAATTAACACAACACGTAGAAATATACTAACTTTCCTTAATAAAGTTAGGCTTGACATGATTCAGAATTGTGCTAACATCGGATTAAAACAAGCCTAATAGACTGGAACTAACAGAATGCGTAGAAATATACAAACTCCTTATAACTATTGTGACAACTCGGAGTAAGCAACGTTGATTCGATACATATTCGATGGGTGGGAAATTTCAAATTTACTTCGTCTAAATTATGTCAAAGCCAAATGCTCGGAAGAACGGTTTGATGAAAATCAAAGGAGCGTCAAATAGTAATACTAAATGTTCTACAAAAGATCGATCTGAAAAGTTGAAACTTAATTTCGTTTACAAAGGAGATTGCTCAGCTTCCATACATGTTTGGCCTAAAGACCAATAATCATGAAAAATTGTTTCCTAGATTCGAAATTATATATAAATTACTGTAGAAACGAATATTATTGACGGACACCCCTGAGAACTTCTATAAACCATATACACTGAACATATTAAAATAATAAAAAACAAATAAGTTATATAGTAAACTAGGGAAATCAAACTAAGTACCGAAATTATGGATTAGATTCAGGTATATAGAGCATGTAGATTAACAGATAATTGCCTGTTTTTAAAGTTAATGTAACTTTTAAAATCAGGTGTCATTTCCGGTTATAATAAGGTACTCTGTGACAGAAACTGTGTGATGATTGTGAATGAGCCACAGATTAGAGAGATTTTTTAAACTCTCGTTAACCACAGAAAGACAAGACATTTAGGTTCTATAGCCATATATTCAGTAGCTTCATTATTTTTGTTATGTTTTTAAGATAACCATATTTTAGATTTTTAATGTAGCACACCTTATAATTTTATTAATTTATTATAGTCAGGGAACGTAGGCCCATAGATAGATACCTTAAAGTCTAACATATATACAGATTATAATGTGTTTATAGAGGTGTTTGGCGAAAAATGTATGGCAATAGACTTTATGATGTCGCCTACCATCTATAATAATTGTCTGAGCACATTTGCATCTAGTGAAAATGATAATATAGTTGTGGATACTAATACCACAGTGTAATAAAAAAAATGATTTATTTTATCGATCTTTACAAAATAGATTTGTTTTTATGTTATATAAACAACTTCGATCAGTCTTTGGCTGAATGTTACTACACCCATAGCCATTAAAAATGATTCGTATGTTTTCCAAACCGGTAAAATTAAAAGTCCTTTTTAAAGTAAATATATTATACAAAGGTGTCCGTTGAAATCTGACGACTGTAAATTAAATTATAAATTACGCCAAGAATTACCGTGTATGTCAGTATTTTTTGTGCATTTGGGCCAATTTGAGCAATCTCCTTTATAGTTTACTTACTTACATGGCAAAGTCAATACATTTTTTGTGTGGAAAAAATGATTGATATTGCCTGATGTTAGAACATATTATGTTATTACTGATGTCGAAGAAAAATAATATATATCATCTTTATTTTCATAGCATTAATGCGACAAGGGACAGTGAGCAGTAATTATTTGTTTAGGACAAAATAATAATAAGTCCAGAAAAAAAATGTTGGTATCTGCTTGAAATGAATATTTGAAGAGCTCACCTGTTTCCACTAACGTCCAATACATGAAGCGATTTACAATTTCCCAGTTCGTTTGGCAGTCTTGTTAGTTTGTTGTCCCTTAAACTTAGCACCCCCAGTAAGGTCATATTTCCAATATCTATCGGTATGTCACCCAAAGAGTTTCTATCTACGTTCAGTACTGTCAACTCATTAAGATTTCCTATCGACTTAGGCAGCTCCATTAAAAAATTCTCCGTTAATATAAGCTCTTGCAGATTTGTACACCTGAAAATATGCAATACGGAATCATTAGAAGCGTAAATACCGAAGAATAAACTTACGAACAGGATATGTACCGTTAACTATACAGGCCACTCACCTTCCTACATTACCATTTAACGTATGTAATCTATTTTGGTCCAACTTTAATATAGTTAACTTTGATAAATCCCCGGTACCGTCTGGTATCGTTTCCAACATATTTTGTGACAAGTGTAGATCGGTTAGTGAACATAGTCCCCCGATTTCTTCTGGAAGTCGTTCTAGTTTGTTCTCGCTGACATCTAGACATGTTAAAGCTTTGAGATTCCCTATTTCTGGGGGAAGATATTGGAGTTTATTATGATCCAACCATAATTCTTCTAACGCAGGTAGCTCACCGATGAACCCGGGCTGTAAAACAAAATAAAAACGGTCAAAACCTATAGGTGTAATACTTCTCCCACAGCTGCGCGACAAAGCTCGGGTGGCTTTGGTATTAAATGCGCTAAAAATTTTAATCCGAAATTCGAATTAGATAGTTCTGTCGTAATTAATAAATGGGCTGTATAAAATATGCTAAAGACAATAGCTTGACTGCCGTTAAATTGATATGCTAAATGAGGTAGTGTTAAATGAGGTAATGTTTAGTGAGGAAGACGTGGTTAAAGTTATAACCTCTATGGCGCGAGGTAAATCACCAGGTCATGACGAGCTGAGCATTGAGCATTTATTACACGCAGGCGGTATGCTTTGCTCTAAGCTCTCTAAGTTATTTAATATGTGTCTCAAGTACTCGTATCTCCCAAATAATTTAATGAAAACGATAATTGTTCCAATTATTAAAAATAGAACGGGGGATGTGAGCGCGTCCAACAATTACCGCCCAATATCTCTGGGGACTGTAATAGGTAAGGTTCTCGAATGACTTGTGCAGCCCGAGGTGTCGAGAAACATTGAGATTGACGACGCCCAGTTTGGTTTCCGTGCCGGTCTCTGTACAGATTCAGCTATACTGACCGTAAAACATGCTGTTGACTACTACAGACGCCGTAAAACGTCTGTGTACGCATGTTTTCTTGATCTGAGCCGCGCATTTGATCTTGTGAACTATGAAGTTCTCTGGAGAAAACTGCGCCACACTAATGTTCACCAAGAAGTTGTAGCACTGTTCGAATACTGGTACGGAAATCAAACTAATAGTGTGAGATGGGGCGACACGACTTCTAGCAGCTATAAGCTAAAGTGCGGGGTACGCCAAGGGGGGTTGACTTCTCCGGACTTCTTCAATTTATATATTAATGATCTGATTGGTGAGCTGAGGGGCACTGGTATCGGTTGTCATATTGGCGATGTATGTGTAAATAATATAAGCTATTCAGACGATATGGTGCTCCTCAGCCCCTCAATCAGAGGTCTCCGTAAACTTGTTTCGATCTATGAACATTATGCTAATGCTCACGGGTTGAAATACAATGTTGCAAAGACAGAAGTTATGATCTTCAAGGCGGGACGGGGTCCGGAGAACGTACCTGATGTATGGTTGAATGGTTCGGTGCTTCGGGTTGTACAGCAATTTAGGTATTTCGGGCACATCCTTACAGAGAACGGAAGGGACGATCTCGATATTGAGCGAGAGAGGCGGGCATTATCGGTGAGGTGCAATACGCTCGCGCGAAAATTTGGTAAATGTTGTGATGAGGTTAAATTCATGTTGTTTAACCTATACTGTCAATGTTTTTATACTTGCCAGCTATGGGTTGACTTTAATCGTAGCTCGTACCGTTCCATAAGAGTGCAATACAATGATGCTTTTCGTATTCTTATGAGACTACCGAGATACTCTAGCGCGTCGGGCATGTTTTCAGATGCTCGTATATCGGACTTTTATGCTGTTATGAGAAGACGTATAGCCTCTTTTTGGTCACGAATATGTCTTTCTGATAACAGCATAATCAAAACTGTATGCAAAGGACTTGATAATCCTTTATTCAAATACTGTATTTCAGTGCACCAGAGTGAGAACCGAAAATGACGTAGGTAATATTATACCTGTTTGACTTTTACTGTCTTTTATGCTTTTATGATTTTATTTTATTTTTTATTATTATTTTGTTTACACTTTTACTTTTTTTTTTAATTTTGTATATGACTTTTTATTGGGTTTTTATGCCTGGAATAAACAATTATTATTATTATTATAAACGAAAAATTTGTATTCGCAGCTGAAAAGTATACTTAGTTCAAAGTTCAAACGCTAATTTTAGCGCATTTTAGTACCAAAGCCAGTCGAAGCTTCGTCACGCAGGTGTGGTATAAGCATAAGCGTAAAAATTTCAAGAATTATAGATATCATACCAATTCCTCGATTTCGTTATCGCCTAAATCTAACCTCTCCAATTTAGTGAGGTTTTTCAGAGACTCGGGCAATGATTTAAGAAGATTTTCCCTCAACTCCAATGACTGCAGGGACACCAAACTGAAAAAAAAAACGAAAAAAAAACAGTTAAACGCCGACATATAGAGTCGTTGTTACATAATAATAATTTGACAGGACAACTCAACGAGCTGGAAACACAATAGAATTATAGTGGCGAAGATAACAACATCCCACTACAGCCCGATGCATTTGTGCAAGGTGAATTGTGACAAATGTCATTGTCGGATACCTGTAGAAGGTCAAAACTATTTTCTGTTATCATGTAGGAAAAATTGTAAAATAAAAAATGTAGGCAAAATTAAATAAACACAATGTTTTTGCTCTTATGCTCCATTTTTAATAGCTCCTGATTACGGACAGATAAACCTGGTTTCCATCGTGTTTTTATATAATTTGTGGATCATAACAGTTTTTTTAGAACAATATTATTGTTCACTTTTATTAATAACTACCAACACTTGTTATTGCAGTGCGGTAATTAATGTTACATCAGTTAAATTTCAGTACACTAGACAGTTACAGTACACAGAGGACGTTCACTTCAAGCTTGCTTTCATGCAAATCGAATTAAATAGACCATGAAATCGGTGGATCTTTATCGTGTCAAATTGCGATTTCATTTTCGGCACTCCTTTTGTCAATTATGAATAAAAACGCGGAATTGATTGTAGAGATGTTGGTTGTTTATAAAGTAATCGAGATACTAAGTTAACAATAACAAAGTTATTTTAGTACAGCGGGTGGAGACTGGGTGCGACCAAAATATCGGTTTTTAATAAGTTAATAAAAACATGTTGCACGTGATGAACGCCAGTAGCCGACGGGCGACACAATATTGTCCTGTTAAGAATTCGCCATCGAAAACGTGCAGAAATCAGTTTTATAGGTAGTAACTAGAATAATAATGCTAAGCCGTTTTATCTATAACTTAAAATTCTGTACATATTTATTTTAGATTATTCAAACGTTGCCTCTTATATGGAAATGCTAAAACTAGTTTTAAGGTCATTGACTTAAAAAATTATCCATCCTTCGATAAATTTACTTCAACAATCTTTTACTATGTAAGTCTGTGGTAGTTTTGGTAGGTAAACATTATTCAATATGTGCTAATTAGACTAATTCAATATGTGGTATTGTATTCTCTTGAATACCATACCACCTAATTAGTGGTTTGTTTGATCTGCTGAGTTTAAGGTTTGTCGTTATTGTCATCATCTCGTATCTCAATTGGGTCTCTGAACGTATATTGATAACAAGTAGCTTTGCCTAAAGTTGAATCAAATCATTGAATTTAAATTAAATGCTTCTTTAAATATTAAATTTCAATTATGACACACATTCACTTATTGTTAAGCCTTCTTTCCTCCTAACAGATTTTATTTGATCCCACATAAGTTGGATGTCAAGTACTACCTACTTCTTAGTGCTATTGAAATGCATCTAGTTTATATTGCACAAGAGACATACAACACGTAAAAATATTGCTGTTTAAAGTATTCTATATTTTACCTACTTGCTTGCGTAAGAGTAATATATATATTGTTTACTGATAACCCGCACTGAACGTGCCTCACGTTAAGAACCTTGAGGCCGCATTCCTGAGCAGATGTCAAAGTACTTAACGCTGGTTCTGTATGTACATAAAGCGATGAATCATTTTGCTCGAGTACTTGGCAGTCGTAATCACGTCGTAACTCCATAAAAGCGTATTTATTAGGTAGTCCGATTTAAAAGGTAAACAGAGACATTGAGACATGCACCCACGCAACATAACATACAACAAGTATCGCTAATACAGTACTACAGTTGTCTGGCGAAAGTACATAATTATGAATATTTGCTATGTGCACTTTTTGGAGATTTCGACATTTTCATTATTATGATTAGTAAACTCTAGACTCTAGTATATTAACCGATTTTCGAATACATTACAAATACTGCAATGTGAAACTTTAGCATTAAAACGATGAACAGACGTTACTAAAAATATATGCTATGTCCATAAGCCAGAATATTGTCAAATATGTTGAAGTAATTTTTTTTGTACATAGCAGATATTGGTTTGACAAGGACCATAATATTCAACTATAAACAATTAAGTCACAATTGTAGTTTTATAATTGCATTGCAGCTGAGTGGGATCAATGTGCGTGACGGGTTATATTTCTATAAAACGAGAAAACAGCGTGTATTTTTATTTAAACGATCCTAAAATAATTACAGGATTTTACGGTGACGACGGCACGTATCGAATGACAAGTCAATTTGAACATTAATAAAATTCGAAGAAGCAACTTATGTACTTATATTTACATCATTTACGTGTTACGTGGATATTTGATTGAGGATAAGGTAAATTTAAATATGACTTGTCGTCAGTTTAGAAAACAATCAGTTCATATTACCTAAATATTATGTCAAAACTAGAACGGATAGATTAAAATTCTTAAATCTATCATCAATCATTTCTAGTAAATTTTCAAAACCTAAAACGTAGATATTTGCCTGCAGTTGTAGTGATAAAATGGAATTTTGGTTGTTTTTGGTTAAAGGGCCAAAACAAAATAATCGAACAAACCAGACACAGCCATCGGAACATCGGAAAGAAACAATAATTTAAGAAGTACTTATATCATGGGTTCGTTGTTCTTTAATGGAGTTGCAAAGCAATCCATCTTTGTTACAAAGCATGTTATAGTTATGTTAAGCTGACAGTGAAGTACAAATAAAACTCCTCAACACGGCGTCCCTGAACCGGAAAAAATATAACAGTTATCATATTCCCCAAAATGATATTAAAACGGCGCATAATAAATGGTTTTATTTAAATGTCGACGTAAATGACGCTAAGAGCTTCAATAGTTACAGATCTGCATTGATTAATTTGGCTGCGATAAAATGTCTTCCACTTATGATTTGTTAGTCCATAAAACTACTGAAATTATTTAACTAAACTTGCATAGCCCCCTAGTTGATAGAAATATAATAATAAAAAAAGAATCATTGTAAGAATACATGGTCACACATACACTTCGGGCACACAAAAAACCCATACTGACATATTCTTATGCCATTCCAATTAGTTTATAGTTTACACGGTGGAAACATAACAAAGGTTTTCTTCAATTAATGGTATCAGTAATTGAATCCGTTTAAGAAACATGAAAGCAACCTTAGTTTCTCTTAGCGTTTCCTCACCAGTGTTGTTGGCTTAGTTCACTAATTGAAAGTACAAAGGAACGAAAATGACTATCATGTAAGACAGCCAGCCGGATCGTATCACTATCATAGATTATTCCCAATGTGAAACAGTAAGAACACACACGCGATATGAGTTCAACGGAGGTAAATGTTTGTGGAGTCGTCTATAAAAGGCACGCCCCGGGTGTACTGTAACTTTCCAGTGAAACTTTCGCTTTCGACTATACAACATTGCTTTGAATAAAGCTCTGGTCAATGGATAATACCTCTAATCTACTGTAGTGAACAACATGACATGCAATTTTTAACTCTCCCCGTAGTAGTTGTGAAACGAACGTAGCCGCAATAATGCTGAACAAAAGCAGCCGATTACGTAATCACCGCCAAACGAGTCGAATTATGAGAGCAAATTGATCAACAGATTGTCAATTGAATCTAATATCACAAGCACACTGGTTGTTTTCATTTCATCCTGGACCATTTGATGGCATTCAAGAATGTTCGGAAGAAAGCATATAAATAAAGTAGGAAAATAATACCTAGTACTTTTTAGAAATAAATAATATTTGAAGATGATATTACAGAAAAAGTACTACACTTTGAGCTTGAAATAATATTCAATATATATCAAATGTAAAAATATAATTACTCTCATCTGTATAAATTCAATTTCATACCGTTTAAGGGGGAGGACAAGCCAGCGTATTTTTATCGAACGATTAGAGTCACACGACTTACGTGTTTTTAAAAATCTTCATTTTGTGATATGGTGATGTAAAATGAGTTATGATTATAGTTGAAAAATTATTATTTCTAACTATATTTAATTCTTATTATCTAGCATCTTTCGCTATCCGGGCGGAATGACTAACTTTCTTATTAATACTCTTACTACTTACTCGACTTATTCTACTGCGACTCAAAATAATACGCTCGTTTGGTCTCACCCTTAACAAAATCTGACATAAACGCTTCTACTATGTTAATCTTTCAGAGCTAGCTATTTTCCACGTGTAACATTTTCAAATCTTCTTACGAGCCTTTGAACGTTGAATATTTAATGTCTTGAAAGTACCACGAGGGATTTTCAGTGCCTTATGTGTTTAGAAATGTGAATTTCATAGCATATACAACACTGTATGTAATAAGAACTGTACCTATTACTGTGGATTGTAATTTACTTAACATATTTTTTTCTTGTTTTATTTAGACACAAAAATCTTGCTTTAAATTTTACATACTATTTAAAGATAATGCTATTATGTTTGTACTTTGACGCGCCTGTCACTTATCTATCCAACAAAAGAAGTAATGCTTAGTTGATCAATTCTATCACCATCAGATCAGATAATTCATCGTCATCATCAAGTATTGTGGATAGTTCTTCTATTCAATAGATCAGTATCAAGAAATTACAATTAACATAATAATAAAACTCTTTATTTTACACTACAAAAAATATAAAATATTGTACATAATTGCATAATATATTTCTCAAATTGTCATTTCTCTAGTCTAAACGACATTGGTTACAGTTAATTCCGTTTTATAAGCTTTAGTGTTAAAAACCTTTTTTTTTACAATTTCTTTCACAAGTAGATATTATCTACTCTAAGACAAAAACTGTGAAATTGCATGCGTCTGCCTCTTAACTTGTAGGTGTGTATCAGTATATAATTATCAATCCGTAAATCAACTAGCAAGTCAATTATTTGATCGTAACGTAGCTTGAGTTTATAATTACACCAGTGCAGTCATCTCCAAGTAATTAGAGAAAAGCCGCTTTAATTTTATTACATCACTCACTTATTAGTTCAGGTTCAGGATTACTAATGACACAAAAAGGGATAGAAAGACCACATACGAATATACTTTTAAATTAATTTGAGTTTGTTTTCAGGTATTTTATAAACATTATTGAAGTAAATAATACTATATACATATTAGAACTAGGCATCATTAGTAACAGTCACAGTCTCTAATGTTAACAGTTTCTCCCACTGTTCGAGAGGAAGCGCTTAAGAATGTTGTAAGCCATCTTGGCCTCACCTGCCAAAGTCGCTCGGAAGACTGGTGAGGGACATGTCATTGAGACCGAGCACCGTGAGCGCTCTGAGCTGGCTGAACCCAGCCGGCAAGCGAGGGATCGGGTTGCTGCTGAAGTCCGCGATCTGGAGAGCACGCAACTTCTTGATGTCCTCTGGGATGTCGGGAATGTCTGCAAATAAGAGATATGCTTAGCAATGTATAGCCTACTCAAAAAATCTGGTAAACGAATCAAACAACTATATTTTTAAACTTAGTTGCTAACTTTCCCGTACATATCTTTACATAGTATAAAACAAAGTCGCTGCCGGTGTCTTTGCGGTTAGATGTTTTAACTACGCAACGGATTTGAAAGAAGTTTTCAGTAACACAGAGTGATTCAAGAGGAAGGTTTATAATATACATGCCCGAAAACAACATCTTGACCGAAGCGAAGTGAAGGCGGGTGATAAAAAACTTAGCAACGGCTTTAGATAAAGGATAACATTTGTAGGTGATGGTCCGATACTGTTATTACCGTTTCCAAACAATATAATTTTGCAGCCTCACTCTGACAACATTTGCATTAATATATGGTCATGAAGCATACACACCCATAATGCATCAATCGATCAATCTTGGACATAATCGTCCAATCGTCGATCGTCGATCTAGTCGATTGACGCCGGCTTCAAGCGTCAATCCAGATCGTGTCGATGTTTGTGACCGATAAAAAGCTTAGTTTGCCGAAATGTTAGTACAAAGGTGCTGCAGACAATATAACATGGATACTATAAATAGATATTAAACATTGGAGCTGAACTTGTACCCAAAGCATAAGAGGCTAATGTGAAGTAGCGATGTAGATCCAACCAAACCCAAAAGTGACGTATCGAGGTGTAACTTGCCAACCTTAAAGTATCCAACGTATGCGCGTTTGTCAAGCGAGAACAGTATGTATTTTTTGGTTGTAAGTAGGAAAATGCTGAGTCACATAAATATGTTAAACCAAAACAGGAATGCAATTGTTCGACACATTTCTTGAGAATATTTCTCGTTGAAAACCAATGGCCAGAAATCTAGACCTGAGGATGACCTTGCTTTTAGAATTATATCCTAGCGCAGTGTTATTATTACATGTGGTCCATTTGAATTGTAGCTGAAAATTTTGTAGCCATTTCATAGATATCACTATAGAAGAGAGAATGAAGATAATGCGTGCAGAAGTTGGTGATTACGATGATGCGCAGTCTGTTCTACGTATTTTTATTTTTTGCCTTGCCACGATCGACTGAACTTATAGTCGCGATCGACTGGTTGGCCACACCTGCTATATAACATCATGATAAGACTAATAGGAGCGGAGCATCAATGAAAAATGTTGTAAAACGGGAAAAGATATGCCTTTTCAGATCTTTCGTTGCGTGCGCTGCGTAAATAGTTAAAGTTACACAAAAATCATGTATGACTGTATAGAATTGTTCCTCCTTTAAAAGTTCTATAAAAACGTCCGCGACAGCATATGCCCATCTTTTAAGTTCGATTCACTAAAACCTTTTTCCTTAAATTAACCACATTCATCGACTGTTAGGTCAAAACATAAGTCACGTTGCCAGAATGAGTATATTTACGGTATTTTTTCTGAAACCTTTATTCGCAAATAATTAGTGTCGACACCGCAGATTTCATTCTACGAAATTTCGATATAAAAGACATCGACATTGCATTTCATTTCTGAATATGGAGGTAAAGAGGTCGTGGTTCTGGTTTATAAAGGTACCAGAGTCACAATAACCCAGGCGAGGGCCGATTACTCGGTTACGTATTGCTCACCGAGTAAGGACCGCCGAAGGTCGATTGGTCATGATTGGCACACGGACGCAAACACTGCTGTCCTCAGAAAATAATTTGCAATTGTTCCATGTTTTATGACGTTAACCAAAACATTGTAGGCGATTTTCGAGAGCAAGGCCAAACTAACTAGGTAACCACATACAAAAATAACTTAAATTAAAACAATGCACACGTCAGCGCTGATTTGTTTACACATTTCCAATAGGTTTGGGCTGGCAGATATAATTTATTAAGGTCATGGACGTGATATGGGTCGAAAAATTAAACAGTTGTGATTTGTTTAATAATGTATCAAATTGAAAGTTAGAAAAAAAACTAGGCGAACAGATTATGTATATTGGCTTCAATTGAAACCACTACGATAAAAATAAATCTATTAAATGCTTCATGCGTCACTACTAATTTTTCATGATGCTCGTCGTATTTCATTAGATCGCTAGTTAGAAGAACTAAAAATTTGAATCTTTTACGCAACCAGTACGCACAGCGTACCTTGAAAACTTTCAAATATTTTCCATTCAATTTTGTGATAATGATTTCAATGCCTTACTATATAAAACATTTTTTAATAAAATTGAAATGTTATATGCATAAAACGCAACAAATTATTGAATAACCTATTACAAAAAATCCAATAAAAAATCTATGCTTTACCGAATTGGTAAGCTTCGTAGAAAAGGAAAGCTTAATTTGTCTGACAAATAACATTTTCTTTGCATTTATTTATAATTAGGAATCATTTTCCGATTGAACAAGCATTACTTCATTTAATAGTCGTTTGGATTGAGATTTAGTCATCATCATTATATACTATGTATATTATAATACAAGTTATCAGCTCTCGCTTCACTTTGGTGAAGACTAAGAAGTTTTTGAACTAGCACACTTATTATTATAAACCTTCGAAAAAAACTTTGAATGACATTAAAAAATCGACAAAATACATTCATTATGGATCATTGCGAACATAGACTTTGTTTTTAATAATTCTGCAAGAATAACCTGAAAATCCCTTTCAAAAATGCAATTCTATTTGGCTTGTTGTGATCCATTCAGTTTCTTTCCTGTAACTGAAGAACGTCAATTAAGACATGTTTTCAATAAAAACAACTACAAATACAGTAGTGACTAAACTAGTTTTCTAATTTCATGGCGATAACGGTAGACCGGTCCCGTTTCCGGTTCGCGAACGGACAATCCGAATCGCGAGGTGATGCCATACCGTCATCAATTTTATTTGTCAAGCTTCACAAATGGATTGCTTAGTTAAAACTTAGAATAACAATGTTTTAATTAAAACATCGATCGGTTTTCACAACGGAAAATCTAGGTCAAATAAATCGAGTGACTATTATTTTCTTCGGTTTCAGCTACCGATAAGATAAGACATGTAGGGGGCCGCTAACTTTCTTCAATATTTGCTTTTGCACCTTATCTTTTGACGACCACCGTGGGCGTGTGGTTTTTACGCCGGGTTTTAAGGTGTCGCCTACTCGAGAGGTTCGGCTTCGAATCCCGGTGGAGGCAGCAGATGTTTGTGTGATGAATACGAGCATTTGTACTCCAGTCATGGAAGTTTAATATGTATTTCTATATAAATATACTTATATATGTATCAGTATAAGTATTCTATCTGTTACCCTAGATATTTAATTACACAAGCCTACAGTGCTTACTTGGGACTAGGCTAATCTTTCTATTTTTTATTATCTTTGGCATGACAAAAAATAAATACACGCCATATCAAAGGCCGTCCATAATAATACAGCTATGTTTCTAGATCTGTGATTCTAAAAAGATAAAAATATATAGATATAAGAGATGCGAGGTTTAACTCAATGAATTATCCGAAGGGAGTAAGTAAGCAAGATAGAATTCGAGTGGTATGCGGAGAGAGCATCTATTTTAGGAAAGGTACGTGGAATATGTTTCTCTAAGTGCACAGCTTTGTTTATAGGAGGGGTAGATGCTCGTCAATACAGTATAGGCCTGGGGAAACCCGTCTCCGTCTTGCTACTGGAGCGGTTTAAAAACGCACGAATAAGGTATATTTATTTTAAACTGTATATCGCTTTCAAATCAGTACAGAAGATGGATAATTACTAAAAAATTTGCGGTTCTTTATTTTTGGGATTCTATTGTCACGAATCGCCGGTTTTTATTATTGTTGAAAACAGGATATTTTTACTTGCTTTTTAAGTAATCGTAAAAGCGTTCTCTCTTATAAAGGACATGGCTAAGAAACTGCCCTTAACATGTATAAATATTTTGCACTAGCCCGTAACTTTACAATATTTTTTATGAATTATTACGTGTTTATTATTCTCATACGACTTCCGTGAAATAATCCAAAATTCAAAAGTATAAAAATTAACTTCCTGTCTGTTTAAAAAGCAAAATGTTCCGTTTTACAAAATAAATGAACAATAAATGTATACAAAAATGCGAAATTGATGACTCTGTAAATAATTGGCAACATCTTTTATCAAATGCAGTAAGGTGATAAGAGTTCTCATAATTTTCAAGATTGTGACTATCAAAATTTCTGAGCCTTTTTTCATAGAAATTAATAATATTCAGCCATTTATAATTAAATATTACTAAGTATAGTATTTATACATTGCCAGGGCAGTCGCTTATACAAAACTTTACCATGTCCTCTCATAAAGAAACCAAACCCTATATATACAATGTTTGCCATTGTAGAGTTCCATTATTATATTATGTACAAATCCGATATTGGCCTTTAAGTAGGCATTCATTATAAAAGAAAACTGATTAAAACAGAAAATTAATTCTCAAAATCCAATTTTATAATAGCCAAAATAACGGCGCAACAATAAACAACAGCACACGCGAATTGAGAACCTTTTCATTATGAAATTCAAAACGAACGATGATACAACGACAGAGAAGGTTATTTTTTTCGTGTTTGGTATATTTTTTACTTAAATTCTCTTGTTGACAACGAGGCTTATTAAAAGTTTCTAAGCCTTATACAAAAGGTCACAGTCAATATTATATTTTAACAATATTGCGAATGCGAAACAGGAATTCGTGGAATCCTGACATCTTTATCAGGCAGTGGCAGTTCTACAACGTAATACGAAATACATGGAAAAAGGAAACGAGGTTTTAAAAGCTACGCTTTACATTTTGAGATTTTATTTATTTTCGTGCTCACATAAGAAGTGAATGACGTATCAACGAAATGATTCAACCTCATCTGAATTCCATGTACGTGCCATTTTCTAGTCAACACACAATTTTCTGCGTACAGAGACAGAAAACACATCGCAACCAAATTAACAACAGATATCTTCCAGTTTACGAAAACAA